AGGAAGAGAGTTATGTTGGGGTCGCGAGTTTTCCCTCTGTGAGCGTACGGGATCAAAAATAGAAGACACACATAAGATTTTTTCAAACTCACTTAAAGTACAGAAAACATTACGCGACATGCACCAAAATTTGATCAAGACAATATTTGCCGAGGGTGGGGGAACACTTTCGAAACCAGTTCTTGAAGCAAGCACGAAGCTTTTAATGCCCGGATTTTTATCCTCTTATTTTTTTATGCGTGCAATTTTAATTATATATATTGGCGGTGGATTTTATGCGTCTATAAATTTATCCGAATTTTATATCCCAACAAAATATCAAGAACTTGAGTTCCTCATTAGAATGTCACGAATAATGCTCCAAATAAAGGTTAGTAACATCTAAAACAATCTTTAAAATCTCTTAAGTTTTATTTTGCACTTACTTGATCTTGTTCTTGCAGAAATTATTATCAATTTCTATTTCACGATTTAAGCAAATGAAAGGCAGGGCTGAAAAAGAGAAATTTGCACTTGGAAAGGTGGCAATGCCTGGTAGGCAGAGGGAATATAGATCCTTTCAAAAACCGAAGGTTCCGAAAGGTCAGTGACAAAATTCGTTGAAATATTCTATTTAATATATTTAACATCACTGTATGTTATTTCATTTCAGATTGCCCAGAACCTGATTATAGTCCAATTCTTGAGTAGAAAAGGTCGATGTAAATTTGATATATAATTGATAATGAGTAATATTTCTTTCGTCCTTTAATTGTTGGGTTTCGTTATGTAAAATAATTATATCTATAGAAAAAAGTTTCACGCTGGTCATGTGGGAGATTGAATATCGGAAATTGCCTTTTGATATCTTAGCTTCGGAGGAAGAAATCACAAATAAAATACTTGACGGATACCGCCCAGAATTTACACCAGTAAATGGTATATTAGTAGTAATAATCTCCGGTCTGAGTGATTTTTATTAATGTATCATATAATACCGTAGCAATTAAATGTAAATTTAACAAATAAAGGTTTGTCTGAACTAGTGCTCTGCAAAACAAAACAAAAACTCGATTATCGAGTTTTTGAATCCATCAATTTACAATATTGTTTAGTATATGTATAAATCTAATCTTACTTTAGACTTCGTGGTAACTAACATAAAGGTTAAAGTCAGATTAGAGTAAACATAGATTTTACTGAAAATTTTGATTACTATGATATTATTGAAGGATCATTATGCCAGAGATATTACCCGGGTCGAAAAATAGCGACCCAGGTCAAATCCGGGTAATGAAATGTTGACCCGGATCATGACCCGAGTCAGCAGATCAGGTGAATAAATTTAAAGTTTATTATCGTGTAATGCATGAAATATGAGGTAATAACTTATAGTTAGTATTTGTAATTATAATTCGTAAAATCCAACAAGCCCAATATAAGGGCGATACAAACCTCTTGTATAAACTAGTCTGTTCAATTTCAATAAAATCTTTGCCTCCTTTGCTATAATTCTTCGAGTCTTGATCCGTTCGTTACAGTTTGAACAGACTAAACTCCAAGTTTCTTGATCTTGACCTTCTTGTATTTGCAAATTTTTATCTTCTGCGAAATAAATTAATACAAAAAAAAAAAAAAAAAAAAAACAAAAAACAAAAAACAAAAAACAATAGTAATAGAATAATACTCCCTAAATACTTCCATATCTGATCTGTTAATCACTCGTCAACTTTCTTAACTCTGTAAATAAAAAAAAAAAAAAAAAAAAAAAACCCTTGATCTATTAATATAACAATTGAAATGGATGGCCAGCCTGACCTTAACGCCATCTTAGCAGCACTTAACCAGATCCAATTGGATTACCAAACAATTCATCAGGAAAATGAAGAATTAAGAACCACTATC